AGAGTGGAAAGTTGAAGTTCGAATATCCCGAGAAAAAACTGCTAGTTTTGCAAGAAATGCCTTCTAGATTTCATAAAGATTCAGAACCGTTTGCCCTGCACCCTGGAGACAAAGGTTGAGTTTGTTTGGGTGAGCGGTGATGTCAGCTAGGAACATAAGCTTACACACCCATTTGTCATCATCCAGTTCAGGGTAGCTTTGTCCTTGTTCCGACAAAAAGGCCTTGATTGCATCAAAACAGTTTACAAAGTGGATCAAAACCTTGCCACAACTTAGCTGCAACTTAGCTACCGGACATTGCTGTGAAGTGGAATGTCGTTATATGCACTGTCTATCTCTTCTAACAGTGCTTGAAACTGTCTGAGAGTCAAAGCAGATCGAGCAACAAGGAAATTCACAATTCGCACCATGGTATTCATCACATTCCTAAGCTCTGAATTAGAAACTTTAGCGCACAGGTTTTCTTGATGGATGATACAGTGAAATTTGACTGTCAGGTGCCAAGTTTGGTCTTCAAGTAACTTTACAAATCCCTTCTGTTTTCCGACCATGGGAAGAGCACCATCTGTTGTCACACAAAATATTTTTCTGATGTCGACTCCTCATTCTTCAAAATGGTTTACAAACATTTTCACGTTATTCTCCCCCTTTGTTGTGCCATGCAGGGGTTTTAGGCAACAAAGTTCCTCCCAGATTTCATCAGAAGCACAATATCTTGCAACAACTGCCAAATGTGGAACACCATTTATATCCACACTCTCATCAAGTGCAACGCTAAACACCACTGTGTCTTTTAATGCAGTTGTCTGCTTTTTGCTTATGTTTTCTGCCATTTCACTCACGTGTCTCTCAACTGTCCTGGCAGAGACAGGCAGTTCTTTTATTCTAGATAGGATCATGTCTTTATTTGGCAAATCATTGAACAAGACCTCCGAACTAATGAAGTAAGCTTCTTTTATATATTCCCCATCTGTAAATGGCTTTCCGTTTTTTGCAATGCACTGTGCAATTTTGTAACGTCCTTCTGTGGCTTGATTTGTACTTAAACTTAAGCATTTAAAAACACTGATTTTCTTCGTGTATCCTGTTACTGACTTTTTGATTGATTCAATTCTGTCTGCTTCATCAAGAAAGGTTTGCTCATGCTTCGTTTGAAAATGTCAGACACTTGATGTGCGATAAACAACACTTTCACAACATAAAGCACAAACAGCATGATCCCTCTTTTGAATAAATCCAAATTCGTCTGTCCAAGAAGGCTGAAATGTCCAGACATCTAACGTTGCTTTCTTAGGACCTGACATTTTGTCAAATGTACCCTTCAACTTCAGGGGGAAAAAACAATCATGAATGACAGCAGCACTGGGCTCTTCCTGGGCTGGGGCTGTCAGTGGCATTGGGCTGGGATCAGGAAGGAATTTTCTCTCATAGTCAGAATGGTATGGACTGCTGGGGTATTTGCGTTCTTTTGTAGCAGGAGACTTGGCCCTCTTCCTTGAATCTATCTGTGTTTTAAGAATCCTTGTAGTGGCAGGACAGTGGGAGCCGCCATCCCCTGGCTGGGGCTGGTGCCCAAGCTGGGCTGGGGCAGTTGGCAGTGCCCAGCTGGGCCTGGAGATGGGGGCACCAGGCTGGGACCTGCGCAGGGCTGAGGCCAGTAGCAGCACCCGGTTGTGGTTGGGGCTGTTGATGGCATTGGGATGGGGTCGGGCCGAAGCAGGGCTGGGGCTGGAATGGGGCTGGAGCCATGGACAGCACAGGGATGAGGCCAGGTCCACCCGACAGTACATGGCTGGAGCTGTGGACAGCATGGGGCTGAGGCCAGGTCTGCCTGGTAGCACATGGCTGGGACCGTGGGCAGCACGGGGCTGGGGCCAGGGCCCACCGGCAGCACGGAGCTGGGTCCAGAGCCCAAGCCATGGGCAGCATGGGGCGGGCCCCACCGGCAGCATAGGGCTGGGGCTACAGTCCCAGCCATTGGCAGCGGGGGGCTGGGTCCAGGGCCCACCGGCAGTGTGGGGCTGGGGCTGGAGCCCAGGCTGTGGGCAGCGTGTGGCTGGGGCTGGGGCCCACTGGCAGCCTGGGCTGTGGGCAGTGCAGGGCTGAGGCCAGGGCCCACCAGTCACACAGGTCTGGGCCCTGCAGCAGCACAGGGCTGAGGCTGCAGCCAGGTCATTGCCAGCGCTGCAATGGGGCCACAGGGCTGGGGCAGGTGGTGGTGGTAGTGCCGGCTGGAACTGGGCCCACACAGGTCTGGGACCTGCTGGCAGCAAGTGGCTGACACAAACTGCGGCCCCATCCCCACACTGCTGATGGCCAGGCTGCCAGCCCCAGCCCCACACTACCAGTGGGCCCTGGCCCCAGCCCCATGCTGCCCACAGCCTGGGCTATGGCCCCGGCACCAGGGCCAGGGCCAGGGCCAGGGCCAGGGCCGGGGCCGGTGGTGGTGCCAGGGTAGGGTTGGGCCCAGGGGCTCTTACCCGCCTGGGGTCAGTGATGCAGTCAGGTTGTTCTGGAGCTGGGGTCCAGCTGTGGCAAGTCTCTTCTGCTTGGGTCAGTGGCAGCACAAGGCTGTTCCCAGGCAGCCACATACTGCTCAATCTGGTCACGGCTCTTCCCATCCCTTAGGGCAGGAAGCAGTCTGCGTGCCAATAAGAACCATGCTGCATGCCACCTTTGGCACGTGTGCCATAGGTTGGTGCCCCCTGCTCTGAAGTATGCTTTCCTGACTGTGTATGGGGTATATGGGGTGTTTTGACCCACATTTTTGAGTTCCCAGGAGCTGACAGAGAACATGATTTCATAGATTTCATAGACATTAGAGCTGCAAGGGACCTCGGAAGATCATCGAGTCCAGCTCCCTGCCCAAAGGGCAGGAAGTCAGCTAGGGTCATAGGACCCCGGCAAGATAAGCATCCAGTTTGCTCTTGAAGGTGTTCAATGTAGGTGCTTGAACCACCTCCGGCGGCAGGCTGTTCCAGACCTTGGGGGCTCGGACAGTAAAGAAATTCTTCCTTATGTCCAGCCTGAAACGGTCTTGTAGTAGTTTATGACCATTCAACCTAGTCGTCATCCCTTGGGGTGCTCTGGTGAACAAACGTTCCCCCAGATACTGGTGGTCACCC